TTTCAAAAACTACATGCTTTACTCGCGCAATACTAATTGAAGTCCGTCAGTGATACAGTTAGATTGTCCAAAATTCAACAGACTGATCAAGCCGACCTCTTTGACAGCTCGAGCCAATAGAGCCCGCTCGTGGCTGGTATACTGTGACGATATTGTGTAGGGAATCCGAGCGTTGGGCCAAAGTTTTGCTGCTCTGCTTACGCCGTTTCGTTTGAATCGTCGTTTGCTGCCTGGTGGGCTCCTAATGTCACTACGGTGCTTATTAACATCTTCTAATGTCATTGTTGTTGGCCTGTATAGTTCTTCTGAAGTATCAGATCAACAATAGTTGTGTGGTTAATAATTTTTTTTTTTTGGAGTTTCTGAAGTTTTCTAAATTTTTTATCTTTGCTTTCATTCTATTTTCGATGTTTCAGTAAAATGATGAAAATAATAATTGTACTGTGAAAACGTAGAATATGATGTTTGTTGACTGTTGGAACAGTTAAAATAACATAGATAAAATATAAACAGAAACCTTTAGTAATTTTCTCGGCATTTAAAAAATCATCAGCAGTTAATACATTAATTTCTACAACGCTAGTAGAACTACCTGAAAGTGTTATAATGAAAGAAGAAGCAAACAGATTTAGCCATATAATCTTTAAATGAACATCTGATTTGTGTTCATTCAAACGAATGCTAAGTTTATAGACTTTAGTAATTGAATCTATTCATTTTTTGATGTCGTCTAAATTTAATTCATATAATTCTCTTATGCATATATATAAACTTGAGAAAATTTAAGTTATTATTACAGCATAAAAATTCATTGGAACCGTCAGTACCGAGTCTAATTAATAATTGGTTCAAATGAATCACAGAAAGGGCTAAAGAAGTCGTTTGAAAAAACAAATCAACAAGTTTACAGCAGTTATCTTTGTTATTTTTCTTTTTTGTTTTTTACATTTATTGTTCTATTGAATAGTTACCTGTAAATAATGAGATCAATATTATGAGAATTAAAATTTGTCCACCAAAATTCCTCATGATCGATTCTGGTCAAACAAAGCCGTAAAAGCGGTCCTGAAATAGCGATTAAAACAGTTCGTGGAACATGGTTCATCATTGTACTGTGATTCAGAATCAAAACATTGTACAGTACAATGGTCATCCTTATATTGCAGTTGAAGAATTTACCATAGTCAACATTAGTATAATAATTTTTTTTTTTGTTGGATACAGACGGCAAAAGTTAGAAGACAACATTAACAATTCCATTAACTGTAATCAACTTTTTCAGTTTTTCCCATCTTTTCACAGTGTCACAACTGTACTATACAAACAAATTGTTTTATCGGTACTAACAGAAAAAGGAAAGATCAGCATAATCACTGTATTCAAATCAGTTAGTTAACA